TATATATGTGTGTGTGTGTATAAGTATAATTATTAAGATACAAGTTTATTAAAAAAGAAAAAAGAAATAAAATTTTTTATTAGAAAATAAAATATATGATTAAAAAAAAATATATATTATAATAGTATATGAATTATATATTCATTCACTGATTAAACATCAGTTGAACATGTATTTTCTTAATGATGAAATAATACTTCTAGATGAAAAATTTATAGATATAGATTTGTGTTAGTAGATCATTCAGTTTCGTTATTCGTTTTGTTTATTAATTTCATTTTTAAACGGCCATTGGCATAGAGATTTTTGCATGTGGGTCATATCCAATCAATTCAAAATCATTTGCTGTAAAATCGTTTATATCTTCAACGTTTCTAATGATTTTTAAATATGGAAATGGTTTTGGTATACGTTTGATTTGTTCCTCAAGTGCGGATATATGATTAAGGTATACATGACAATCGCCCATTGTATGTATAAATTCACCTGGCTAAAAAAAAAAAAAAATACAATTTTCTTAAAAATTTAAAAAAAAAGTTAAAAATTTTGTAATTTTTTCTTATAAATTTACCTTTAAGTTTGTAATATGTGCCAGTATATAAATTAACAAAGAATAAGATGCAATATTAAATGGTACACCAAGACCCATATCCGCACTTCTTTGATAAAGTTGGCATGATAATTCTTCATTGCTTACATAAAATTGAACAAAACAATGACAAGGAGGTAAAGCCATTTTTGGAATATCGATTGGATTCCATGCTGTCATTATAATTCTTCTATCATTGGGAGAATATCGTATCTTATCTATAACTTCTTTTAATTGATCAATACCTGTATAAATAAATCTTTCAATGTATTTGTAGATAATTAAATTTATATAATTAAATTTAGGAATATTAGATTATTATTTTACCTTCTCCATTATAATCTTTGTACATATCTTTATATGTTGCACCAAAATGTCTCCATTGAAATCCATAAATAGGACCTAAATCTCCTTCTTCCCTATCTGTAAAACCACAAGAATCTAAGAACTCACGTGAACTATTTGCATCCCAAATATGAACATCTTTTTCGCTTAGTTTCTTTGCATTTGTGGATCCTTTAATAAACCATAACAATTCCTCCACTACACCTTTCCAAAATACGCGTTTTGTAGTTAATAATGGAAATATATCTATAATAATTATATTAATATTTTATTGTTTAATTTAATTTCTAGATATTTATTTTGTGAAAAATTTAAAAAAATTAAAAGAAAAAATATATAAAAATTATAAAATATAAAAGAAAATATATGAAAAAAATTATGTATGCTATAAATTTTTAAATGATTTAATTTTCTTACTATTTCGTAAATTAAATCTCATCTGAGTTCCGAAAATGGATAACGTTCCCACACCAGTACGATCATCTTTTCTTATTCCGTCTTTAATGATTTTTTCGATCAAATTTAAATATTGATATTCTTCATGTTTTTTTTCATTTTGAAAGCATTCTTGTGTTGTAATTATTTCATTTTCATTCATGTTTCAAAAAAATATTAAAATATAAATACAATGTTACTAGAATGAAAAAGTTAATGAACTACAATTATTATAGAATGGAATTAGACTACGTAATTTATAGTTTATAGTATTAAATTATAAATTAAACTTAAATTAAACAAATTCAAAAACTATTAAAGAATATTATATATTATAATTAAATATTTAATTAAAA